TACCTGCTCAGGTACTCTGTTCTCTACCTGCTCAGGTACTCTGTTCTCTACCTGTTCAGGTACTCTGTCCACTACCTGTTCAGGTACTCTGTTCTCTACCTGTTCAGGTACTCTGTTCTCTACCTGTTCAGGTACTCTGTTCTCTACCTGCTCAGGTACTCTGTTCCCTGAACATAGTGAAGTATTTAGCAGATATTTCCTTCATGAGGTGGTGGAGACTAAACCAGAGCTGCTGATGGATCATCCTGCTGATGTGGAGACAGATGAAGACCATGGACTTGGACTGAAAGCTCCTGGACTGAGATGATATTTAACAAGAACAGAACCTCTGTTGGCTCATGAGCACCATGTGTCCTGTTTTCATAACGCTTGGTCACAATGCAGTGTTGGCAAGGAATTCTGGGTATCGTAGTCCCACTTTACTCGCCACATGTCTGTGAGCAGGAAAGTGCTTCATGCTTCTGCACACTTTCTGTTTCTATAAATAAAAAGGTTGAGACTCCACAGTGACGAAGAGTTTCCCTTCAGCAAATACTGAGACTTTCATAGGACGAGCAGCAATAAAGAGGTCAGCAGGGGAGGAGTCAGACTGAGGAGAACTAAGGGAGCAGAGAGGGAGGAGTGGATGAGAGGTGAAGTAAGGAGAGGAGGAATGAGTCAGGAGGGAGGAGGGAGGAGGGAGGAGGAGGAGGCAAACACTCACTTTTTCCAACCAACAACTGTTGGAAATGTTGGAAGCACTAAACTCTTAACAGTTTAAACACTCGGCCTACTGGGAGGGAAAAACTACTGAGAGTCTTTACTAGAGGGTCTCCCAACATGGAAACACTGGAGTAAAGAGGAGGAGGAGGAGGAGGAGAATCGCTCTCTGTTCACATCACAGCTTGTTTTCACACATTAACATGTGTGGAGGTTTTTAAAGACTCGTGTTTGTTACTTTCAGATAATCAGTGAAGACTTCGCTGCTCTTCCTCTTCCTGTGAACGTATTGATCTGAGATCTGAGATCTGAGAGATTGATGGAAGCTGGTAGTGTTTGCTACTTTCAGTATCACTTTGGTTATTCATGGTAACTTTACACTGTAAAAAACATCTCCTGTACATGAAGTTAAAGTTTCACCTTTAACCTTCATGCTTCATAATCTGACCTTCAGCAGCAACATGTGAACACAATGAAATAAAGTTAGTTTGAGCTGTGAGAGGAGCTCAGTGTTGTTTCACATCATGTGACTCATCTGGGACACTAACCGTCTTAAATTAGAACTAAAGAGGATTTCTATGAACTGACTCCTGTTATGATTATGAATAAATCTGCTCGTCCCTATTTCATATCTCAGTAAAGTGAAAATCTGTTTGTTTTGGTTTTTAAATATTAAATATGCGTTTCACTGTTTTATGACATTTATAGACAAAACAATGAATGGATTAATCAAGAACATGATCATAATAATAATAAACTATTATTTGGCCTAAACATAGTGCATGCTGGGAAGTGTGATGGTGGTTTAAATGAACAGGAAGCAGGCTGGAGTCTATCCCAGCATGCACTGGGTGAGATTGATTGTCTACGATCAGTTTTATTCAAATCCAACATTAAGGATTTAAAACTAATCTAAAAACAAACTTCAGTGGTTTTGGTCTCGTGTAAAAATGAAATGAATCTGATATTAATAAATACATTCATAGTATTGATGAACACAAACGGAAGACTTTCAGACAGAAAAACTATCAAATGTAAACTTTAGCTTCATATTTTTAAACCTTGGAGACAAGTTTCCACTGAGAGAACAAAGACGAGAGTTCAGGAACTCTTTTTCTTCATTCAGTTTAAGTTTAAATCAAGTTTCCAGAAACAGATTATTTCTGAATCTGGATGAATGAAAAGAGAAGAACTCACGTTTTCCTGCCGGCTCTCCTCCAGCGTGGCGTTGGTGGCGTTGAGGCGTCCCAGCAGCAGCAGGTTCTGGACTCTCTGGCGGTCCTGGTCCTGCCGGGCCTCCTCCAGCAGCTCCTCCAGAGCCACCTTGTTCTTGCTCCACACCACCTTGGCGCCCTCCATCTTCTCGGTTACCTCCTGCAGCTCTGCTCGGCACACGGCCGAGCTCTTCAGGTCCGGAGACGTCCCCCACACCACGATGATGATCAGAGAGACCAGGGACCAGAACGCCAGGAGGGCCAGAACCACGTTCTTGGCCGTCTGGGAGGACTTGGACGAGGCCGCCATGAGGAAGAGGATGGAGATGAAGGTTGATGAAGACGAGCTGTGGAGGCAGCAGCTGCTCTCAGTGAGTCTCTCAGGTCGGAGTGATGTAGACTCAGGGAGGGGCTCCCTCACAGGGCGACGGCAAACCTCGGCCACACCCCCCCCCCCCCCCCCCCCCTCCCCAACACCTCCCGCTGCTTCCCCACCCGAAACCTCACCCTGCTCCTCCCCTCCATGTCCGTGTTATCGTGCCCAGAGAGGAGGATCAACAGGAAAGTCACACACACCTCACACATAGACCACACTTTCCGTGTGTGTGTGTGTGTGTGTGTGTGAGAGAGAGAGAGAGAGAGAGCGTGTGTGTGTGTGTGTGTGAAGACTGAGGCTTTCTGTTTCTATTTCCTAGCCTCACAACATGAACCTGGATGAACTCTGGAACGCAAACTATGTGGATCTTTGGCAGAAGAGTTCAGTCCAAGAAACGAAACACAGAGAAACAGAAAAAAAAAGAACAGAAGTAGAGACAGAAGTAAAGACAGAAGTAAAGACAGAAGTAGAGACAGAAGTAGAGACAGAAGTAGAGACAGAAGTAAAGACGGAAGTAGAGACAGAAGTAGAGACAGAAGTAGAGACAGAAGTAAAGACGGAAGTAGAGACAGAAGTAGAGACAGAAGTAAAGACAGAAGTAAAGACAGAAGTAGAGACAGAAGTAGAGACAGAAGTA